TATAGCTAGTCGATATGTGATAACGGTACAGATAGATTTTACAGCTAATACGATATGTGTTATGTGGACTGTGTGTGGGGTATGCTCTGGGGGACTCATTAAGCTTTGTGCTTACGGTTTACAGTTTTGGTTTCAGGTATCAACGTTATGAAAAAAGAAGAGCTCGGATTGATCGCAATGCACACTACTATGATTTCCGCAATGATTGATTTTGGGATAAACTTTGATAAATGATTTACTTAACGATGATTTGGAATGTTTGAAATAAATGGTATCAATGTTTTAGATATATTAAAAACGAAATTTTTACCCTTGATTTTTGGGTCGTTACACAATGCCCCCTTGTCGTTGCAGTAAAAGCAAGTGGCCTCTTTGGGATCAGAGACAGGAGGAGCATCAAAACTTGATTTACCTTTGGGTCCACTGCTTGAAGACCCAACATGAGACTTTCCCTTCTAGTTTTGATTTGGAGGACCTTTCATCTTCTTCTCCTTCCCTTGACCAATGGCCAGAACAGGAGCACTAGCAGGAGTGGAGGCAATACTTTTTCCCTTCATACCTGCTACAACTGTCTGCAGGAGGTTGTGCAATTGAGCCAAGGTGGCCTCACTATTGTTAAAATGATGAACTCATCATAACAACTTGGTAAGGAGTTCAAGACTATGTCAATAGCCATATCCTCATCAAAATGCACATTAAACCTAACAAGGCGCTCCATGTAACGTTACATTCTCTGTACGTGGCCACAGACAAATTCTCCCTCTTTCATTTTGCACGCCATGAGGGACTTTACCACCTCGTATTTTTCTTGATGGGCTCGCTTGTGGTATTTCTCCACAAGATCCTTGTTCATCTCATACGGCCAGTAAACCTCATAGAATCTATGCAACTCAGGGGTCATCGTGGCGACCATGATGCAAGCAAATTTTGTTGCATCATTGTAGTGCCTCTTGTAGGCGGCTAGTCCTTCAGGAGTGGCCTTATCTTCGTCAATCTCAGTTAGTTCTTTCTCAAGGACATACTCCTTGTCCTCGAAACGAAGGATCATTTTGATGTTGCGCATCTGGTTGTTGTAATTGGTGCCATCCAATGTCACCTTTAAGTAGATGTTCAACAACAATAAGTTTTGATTGGAGGAGGAGGAACCAGAAGCATCATTTAGAGTAGACATCTGTAAAAGGAAGGTAGTTTAGTTAGATAAGAATAATCCTTAATATAGCAACCCAAAAATGAAATATTAAGTCCAGGATCCAACTATAAAATTCATAACTTAGAAAAGGGAAGCCATAATCTTATTGTAAATTTTATAAAGGTAGGTAAATGACGATTTACCAATTCCACCAACAGAAAACGAAATTTTAAAATGAAATTATGTTTTAATGAAATTCCTAGATCTTTTGAGATTCATTGAAACTATTTAATGGCATATTTAATCTCAGATTATGCTCTTCTATTTGTGTTTGGGATATCGAGGATCACAAACAAGATCTGAATAACCATGCAAATGTTCTTGGTAACCTCAATGCCGTTTATTATCTCAATTGATGTGCTGGTAAACCACACACGCTCCATCAACAATGATAATTTATGAGATACCCATTACAACTCTTTATTTGTCTCTATTAGTGTGTCGGTTAACCACACACGCTTCACTAACGACTTATAAAGTATAATGTGCAATTTAATGGGTTAGAATACAAATTCATATTTTCCTAAAGTAACTAAGATTGGGATTCTTATAAAAGGGATTAGTTACTTTTTAATATCATTATACTTTTAATGAGAATTGATTGTCCTATCAAACCCGTTCGACTAACGATCCTCCAGTAATCAAGGAAATGGTGGGTGAGAGTGGACACTCATTCAAATACCATTTTATAGGAAGTTTCCTTATACCCCCTTATAGACTAGCTTTGTGAATGAGTCGTATTAACGGTTCGACTGACTTATTCTTATACGTATAGTAATTATTAAACTTCTAATTTTACATATAGTATAAGGTGTATTTTAAAACTTTTTAAAATACTAGGTTTATAATTAAATTTCAAAAATTAATAAATAACATAAATTAAAGAAAACAAAATGATTTAATATTTATCTATTAATTAACATTTAAATTAATCAAATAATTTAATCCTAATCCTTACCCTTTAAATTTTCGAAAATATAAGGTATAGGATTTATCCAATTTTAATTAGCTATTTTTAGGCAAGTAAAATGATAATTACCAAAATTTGAAAAACCCTAATACCTATTAATTTTTGAAATTTGCTTGGGGAGGAACGTTAGGGTTTCAAAAACCCTAACCCTAATTTCAAAACTTAGGACGCAAGGTTAGGGTTTCAAAAACGCTAACCCTAATTTCGAAATTTAAGCCTTTTAGGGTTTACTTTCCATAAACCCTAATTTCATCAAATTGAACAATTATAGCTAATTCAATTGAAAAACAAATCAAATGCTCTGATACCACATATGGGTTTTAGGCATACCAAAACAAACTTGCAACTCTTAAGTGTGCATGCAACCTAAAACAATATCTACGTTTTCATTATTGAACCTACATGAACATCAAAATAAGAACCCTAGAAACCCTAGGTAATTTCGAAAATAACAAGAAATGGTTTAGGATTACATACCTTATTATTATTATAGAAAATAACAATTATCCTTTAGTTGTAGAAGCTTTGGAAGCAAGCACCACAAATGTCGTGCCTCTAGTGGTTCACACCCAAGCTAGCAATAAGGAGATTATGGAGAGATGAGAGGGGAGAGAAAAATTTCAGCCAAACCTTTAGAAAGAAGTGATGGCCGGAAATCAAAGGCCTAGTGACATTTATATAGTGCAGCAAGGAAGCCCTCGATAACCCTAATTTGAATATAATAATAATATTTCAAATTGGTAATTATCCAGCTCCATATTTATCCACATGGGATATTCTAGAAACCCTAGAATATCATTAGAAACCGTCCACCCTCTTGGTGGAAGGTCCTGGAGCCTTTTGTTCAACTATTGAACAATTGCACTTTAGACACTTCACTTTTAATTAATTCCATGAATCCCGAAATTAATTCTAATTAACTTCTGATTAATTATTAATTAAATATTACTATTTGTAATTAATATATTATTCTCATAATACATTAATAAATTATTTATTTCAATTTATTAATCAAATAATAAATCACCTCTCTCTCCAAAAATCATCATGTCTAACTGCTAAGTTTGAGGGCAACCCAAAAGGACCGTGCTACTATCAATTCAAGTTTATATCAATTATAGTTATGAGATTAGACACCCAATCCAACAAATTGATCCCAAATTATCATCCCCCATGGATATATGCGACATAAAAATTTCACCACTAAATTTTTTAAAAATATTAGTAATGATAATTATAAATTAACGACATGATACATGTTGAATTGATCAAGGTTTGATAGCAAAGCAAAATACTCATCTGTCACAGGCTGTTTAGCCTACCCCCCCCCCCCCCAATTGAAACTCTTCTATAACAGATAGATAAGATATACACAGACCGCATCCTCGCCCGATAAGTCATTAAGCGAATGTTTAAACACATTAACGACATCGTCTAATTTCACAGATACATCCTCACAACCATAGGAAATACATGCGAATGGAAGGCAGCGCTAGAAACGGAGGCTGGAACATAGTCACCAAACTGGAAGCCGGTGAGAAGACAAAATTCTTTCCTCCCTAAAGACAACTCGTAACCCCCAATCTCATAAACCATTTCCTCTACTTTGCTTTGAGGTATGTGATGACTTCGTGGAAAAACACGTAATGTAAAATTAAAGGATCCCCATCTACCCTTGGAATATCTAACCACCTCCCAAAACATGAATTCACGAACATTGTCTTGCATGCGGCCTGTCTTTGAGTGCCGCAAAAATATCTGCACCGACTTTGGGTTTACAAGTCAATTGATGCATCAAAAATCTTATCGTTCTGAAAATAGAAAACTCGATATAAGTTATAATCCTACTCTAAAACAAAAATGATGAACATTCCGGACATGTGTTCGTGTTCCCGACAAGTTTTCCGTATTTCAGATCAATTTCTCGCATTCCGGAATGCTATTTTTTGTTCCGGAATACTAAAATTCGATATATAATACCCTAATAAAAAATAATTAAACTACTACTGGGATGGTCCTAATGCATTGTTAACAATTATTGCTACTTCGGAACGTGTTCAATCCATTTGTGCAGATGTTTACTCGTATTCCGGACCAATTCCTCGCATTTTAGAATGCTATTTTTTGTTCCATAATTCTTAATTTCGATGTATAATACCCTAATATAAATAATTAAACTAGTGTTCGGTTGATCCTAATGCATTGTCAAACAATTATTGCTAATCTGGATAGTTCATTCTGGAGATGTTTTTAAAAATAAACTACTAAGAGTATAAGGGTAAAAGACTTACCCGTAAAACAATCAGAACATCGTTATCGTGTTCCATATCTTAAATCGGATATCGGAATGTGTGTCGGAATATGTTGATATGCCAGAAAGCATGCCCGGAACGTGTCAGAATATGTTTATAATTCGAAATCCGGAAAAAAGGCGAGATCTAAATGTAATCCAAAAAGTGAATTTAAAAATCGAAATCCGTAAAAAGTATTGTTGCTTCGGAATGGGCATTTCGGAGGATCTTTGATGGGCCGGCCCAGTCCGAAATGCATTCTTGAATGCCCATTCCGGATATAATTGTTATTTTGCAAAAATTAATTTAAAAATATTATTTAAAAATAAAACACAAAAAGTGGTTAGGTTTTTTTTTTTTTTGCCATGGCCCCTATATTTGGACCAGCTCTCCACTTTCTTATACATAATCATCCTTTTTCTGTCATGTTTCTAGCCAAATTTTCGAATCTTCTCTCCCTTAAATACCGAAGCACCTCTACTTCTGAGATATCCATCTAAAAATATATAGCGTCTCTTTCACTGTTAGGGTACACTAACAGAAGTATCCTATGGATTCTTGTGGAATTTTGTCAATGAATGTAATGCAAAGAGACATAATTGTGGTTGAATTGCCAGTGCAAGACCACAGGCTACCCATGTCAAACTTTGACTTTCTTCTTCCGCCATTAGATGTTGGAGTTTTTTTCTGCTACAAGGAATCTCTTCCCCACGAAGAGAGCGTGAAAATAATAAAAAAATCATTGGCTCTAGTACTAGTTCCGTTTTACCCGTTTGTTGGGGAAGTTGTCCAAAACAACAATGGTGAGCCTGAGCTCCTCTGTAATAACCGTGGTGTGGATTTCATTCATGCCTATGTTGATATGGAGCTTAAGAACATCGATTTCTATCACCCAGACGAATCTGTAGGGGGGAAACTTGTTCCACTTAAAAAACAAGGGGTTCTTTCTGTTCAGGAAGTAATCTATTTTTTTATTCTTTTTATGATCAGAATTTTCAAACATGAGACTTAAACATATTGTTTTTAGTTTATCATGATCACTAGCAACTTTGTGGACAAATCTAACTTACTATATAGTAAATTTTTTCGTAAAGATTAGATATACATATCGTCTAATTATATATATTATGCCTGAAATAGGTCACAGAGCTTAACTGTGGAGGTTTGGTAATTGGATGCACATTTGATCATCGAATAGCTGATGCGTACTCGATAAACATGTTCTTTATTGCATGGGTTGAAATTCCTCACTCGAAAAAAAATTCTTGTGTTCCATCTTTTAGACGTTCAGTTTTTAACCCGAGACGCCCACCAGTCATGAACACCTTCGACAACACCCTATTTGTTCCTTTATCATCCATCCCCCCACCAAGGTCTTACTTTCCAGCTGATCCTCTCATAAGTCGCATATACTACATCCATAAAAAAGATATAAATCACCTTCAATCGATTTCAAGTTTCAATGGAAACCCTAAAAGAACCAAGCTTGTATCGTTTATTGCCTTTCTATGGAAGATAATAGCAGAGTCTGATGATGACTTTACCACATGTAAGATGGGCGTTGTAGTTGATGGGAGAGAAAGGCTAAATACCAACTCTTTTTCAATGCAAAACTACTTTGGAAATGTTCTCTCTGTTCCTTATGGTGAGGCGAAGTCTGGGGAGCTTAAGGAAATGCCACTCAGTCGAGTCGCTGACATGGTCCATGAGTTTATGAGTCCGGCAATGACTGAGGAACACTTTAGGGGACTAATTGATATGGTTGAGTTGCATCGACCTAAGCCACTAGTTGCAAGGATATACACTAAAATGGAAGAGAATGATGGTGAAGGCTTAGTCGTGTCATCTGGTCAACGGTTTCCTGTGGAAAACATTGATTTTGGATGGGGTAAGCCAAATTTTGGGTCGTATTATTTTCCATGGGATGGGCAAACTGGATATGTAATGCCGATGCCAAGTGCAAGGAAGAATGGAGATTGGATAGTTTATATGCATTTACCCCAAAAGCATTTAGACTTGGTGGAAACCAATGGAAGAAAGGTTTTCAAACCGTTAACTCCATTATACCTCGATTTGTGATGATCATCCAGTAGAATTGTCATAAGCTCATAAGCCATAGTAAAATGTATTTTCCGAATAAAATGTATGTAATCGCAATTATCTTTCCATAGAAAAAGAAGGAAAATTATTTAAACTTATTACCATAATTTATGTGAATTTGAAAAAAAATAACCAAAAACAATTGTTTTTAGCAAAAATAACCACTCAGTCCGGAACAAACATTCCGCAAGAAAAAGCATTTTTTTTTCTGAGAAAAAAGTATACTTCGGATTGATATTCCGTATTTCGGACTTATATTTTAGACTTCGAAATAAAAAACTCTTGAATTTCAAGAACAAGTTTAAAATCCGATAAACAACTTCAGAGTTTCGATAAAAACAATGTTGTTTTTTTATTGTAAATCTAACAAAAAAAATAAACAGACATAGTAAATATATATAATACATACAATATTAGTTAATAATAGTATCAAACATTTTATTTAATAACGGTGACATTAAACATAAATTGACATTTTAGACATAATTGAGATATTTCTTTTAAAAAAACAAAAAACAAAAAATAACTCTCGAATTTGAAGATCAAACTCAGGATTGAGCATTCTTTGAAAAAAAAAGATTATGGAGTTTTAACAATAATCTGGAATGAAACATTTGGGAGAAAATGATTATTTTTCAAAAACTGAAAAAAATGGTTTTTTTTCTTCCAAAAACTCATTTATATATGTTAGATTACTTAATATTCCGAAAAGGAAACACACACACACACACACATATATATATATATATATATATATATATATATATATATAGGGAATGGTTATTTGGAAAACAAAAAAAACCTAAAAAACCCTAAAAATGCATAAAAATGCATAAAAAAAATACTTAGAGATTACAAAACGTTTTTTTTTAATTTTTTTATAGAAAAATTGCAGCTTTTAGTAAAAAATCGCTGAAAAAAAATAAAAAATCAATTTTTTTATAAATAAAATTGGTTTTTTTTTAAAAAAAATTTCAACGATTTTATACTAAAAGTTGCGATTTTTTCATAAAAAAATTCAAAAAAAAGTTTTGTGATCTCTAAATATTTTTTTAGGCTTTTTTTATTTTTAGGGTTTTTTTAGGGTTTTTGTGTAACGCCCGTGTTTCTAAGCTAGGCATTAATATTGACATAATGGTCTAGGTTAACCTTTGTAACTCATTTAGAAGAAATGAAAAGGAATTATATAAATTATGTGTTTTATGCTTAATTATTAGGGTTTAATTAATTAAGAATAAAAATAAGCGTCAAAAATTAAAATTTAGATAAAGCCGATATCTATTAAGAAACTTGTAGTGGGCGTGACAAGGATTACGGATAT